AGCCAGAGCCATCAATGATGTCTCGAGTACAACATTCACTGCTTCCAGTTAGCAGTAACCAAATGGACCACAATAACCAAATTTGTTGCATTCGTGGTTAGGTCCTGACCACAGGTCAGTCCATGTGGACCTGTTGCTATTCCAGCTCGTGTTTTTATCTTGCCTGAGTAGTCAATCTTCATTTGCACTAATGAGACACTTGGTGGCGGCAGTCCAAAGGAAGCGTAGACCTCATCATCAATAGTTTGCAGTGTATAGTAAATTGTGGACTTGATACTCTCGACATACTGTCCAACTAGCAAATTGTTGTTCCATATCGAACCTCGCATGTATGGGGTTGAGCCATTCCATATAAAACGCTGTCGAAACTCATCAGGGTCTGCACCATATGAGAAGTTGCCTGGGGACGGGTCTTGGGGGCTTCTCCAAGAGATGAGCCGTTGTAGTGCATGCGTCTTGTGGGTGATCCTGAGGTTCATACGTGGAAGGAGAGTGTCGGTCGGGTAATCGAAGCTTTGCCATAAGATGGTGCCATGTGATGACTGAAGGATAAAATTCCCATTGTTATCAAGCGTGGCTTTTCCACCAGTTGCCTCTGATGATGAATTTCCTGCAGCGCTGATGTTTGTCGTCCAGAGAAGCGTACCTTTGGTGTCTGACAAGGCGAGATTGGATCCGCTTGTGAACGCGAGTGTTGCAGAAGAAGGATCAGTTATGGGCATAGCACGGTTGGCAACCCACACAAAGTTGCCTTCGGGTATGTTCTTGTACCATATGCCGACGTAGTAATGTTTTGTGCTGGAGCTGGACAGGGAGAAGAATCCCAGGGCAAAAGTGCCGTCATCGGAGGTGATGGTGCTTCCAACAGAAAGCGGCTTGTCGGGAAGAAGGCGGCTGCCGGATGATGCACAGAACGGGAATAACCAAAATGACCAACAAACAAGCCAGATGATTGTGTGTAGGGGAAGGGGATCCATTGCTGTAGTGAACTGTAGAACTGGGGTATGGAAGCAAAGAAGTGGATGAGTTGCCTTGGACAATGCACATCAGAACTGAGGCAGAGCCAGTCAAGCATTTTATTTGCGCTCCTTTTTCCACAGGAAGCTACTGGGAAAGTGGGAATCTTGGAAGTAGTCAAAGAGAGATGTTTCTAGGAAGTTTGAAAATGTTGGGTTGGTTGCTATCATCTGGACTATCATGGACTACCTTTCTCAGCAAACAGAATAGCCATTTACTTTTCTTTTCGGTGTGACTGCTGGTTTTGTTGTTTGAATGTGCTGATCACTACAATTTTACTTGGAATAAACCCCTTGTCGGTTTTGATATGTTACCTTAGATGTTTTTTGAAAGAAACTTATCTTTTGTGTGTATACATATGCGATCATGGGTCTTTATGTCAGACATCAGTGGTGCAGGAAATTCCGTGATCTTTCCTTTGGACTTGCTTTACCTAATGTTTGACCATGTGAATTATAACTGGATAAGTTAAAAACATGGACATATCACCTCATAAAGAAACACACATTTTCTGTTCTTTTGGGCTTCAGAAAAACATCATTGGACCCTGACCGAATGTACAAAGGGACCATGTGCTTGTTTCTTAAAAATTACATTAGGATGTGCGGTCAACCACTATAGGTGGAATAACGTATATAACCCTGTTCCCTGCAATTATAGAATTTGCCAGCTACGTGGTTGAGTGTGCAGTCCTGCCCGCATTTGCGCCCCTGGCTTTGCAAGGAAAATATAATTTTTAGCTGTCGTGTGCAACTACATATCTGTAAAGAGCGTATCACCTGTTTAGTGTCTACTCATGCTACTCATTATGTTACTGCAGATGTTCACGACTTCACGGCACACTTCTTCCATCGTAAATGTATTACTAAGAAATGATTTGTTTTCAATGTAGGTGAAAGCTCGACCATATACTCGTTGAGATGGCAAGGCTGGAGAAGCTCTATAAAATGCACACATGTACTAAGGGGGTTATTACTGGAGCTCCACTGGACCCGCAAAATAGAGGCTATATCTACTAGCGCAAGCAGAGAAACAGAAACAGAAACAGGAAACTGTACCATTGAATCCATTAACCCGGATGTAGAGGTTTTCCCCTTCTCCAATGAGCTTCTCTGTGTCAATCAAATCTCCAATCCATAATAGGCACCTAGTTTCATCCCCATTGATAACCTTGGTGCCCATATTGGCGTAAGCATATGCCATGCAGGAGCAGTTGCTTGTGCATTCTGTTATGCATTCATCTAAGCTTCTATTCTTGACATACAAGAACTGATCAGGAACCTTCATGGTTGACACATTTAAGAAGCCATCCCCTTGAGCACATCTTAGTGCTTCCATTCGTTGGCATCCCTGCGAAAACCTGCGGGCCGTCCAGTCTTGTTTATTATTTGGCTCAAAGCCATCAAGACACTTGCATGTTACAATAGATTGCGTGTTGTCACAGTAACCAAATGGACCACAGTAACCAAATTTGTTGCATTCCTGGTTAGGTTCTGACTGCAGGTCAGTCCATTTGGACATGTTGCTATTCCAGGTTCGTATCTTTATCTTTCCTGAGCAGTCCATCTTCATTAGCACTAACGAGGAGACGCTTGGTGCTGGTAGTCCAAAGGAAATGTATACCTCATCATCAATAGGTTGTAGTGTAAAGTAAATCGTGGACTTGATACTCTCGATATACTGCCCGACTTCCACAAATTTATTCCATACCGGACTTCGCCGGTATGGTGTTGAGCCATTCCATATAAAACGCTGCAGAAACTCATCAGGGTCTGCACCATATGAGAAGTTGCCCGGGGATGGGTCTTGGGGGTTTCTCCAAGAGATGAGCCGTTGTAGTGCATGCGTCCTGTGGGTGATCCTGAGCTTCATACCTGGAAGGAGAGTGTCGGTCGGGTAATCGAAGCTTTGCCATAAGATGGTGCCTTGTGATGACCAAAGGATAAAATTCCCATTGTTCTCAAGCGTGGCTTCTCCACCAGTTGCCTCTGACAATGAATTTCCTGCAGCACTGATGTTTGTCGTCCAGAAAAGCTGGCCATTGGTGTCTGACAAGGCGAGATTGGATCTGTTTGTGAAGGCGAGTGTTGCAGAAGAAGGATCAGCGATCGGCATAGCACGGTTGGCAACCCACACAATGTTATCTTGGGGTATGTTCTTGTACCATATGCCGACGTAGTAATGTTTTGTGCCAGAGCTGGACGGGGGGAAGAATCCCAGGGCAAAAGTGCCGTCGTGGGAGGTGATGGTGCTTCCAGCAGAAAGCGTTTTGTCGGGAAGAAGGCGGCTGCTGGATGATGAAAGCGGTTTGTCGGGAAGAAGGCGGCTGCTGGATGATGAAAGTGCACAGAATGGGGATAACCAATATGACCAACAAACAACGCAGATGATTGTGTGTATGGGAAGGGGATTCATTGCTGCAGAGAACTATGGAACTGGGATATGGAAGCAAAGAAGCGGATGAGTTTATCTTGGGCAAGGTACAACAAAACGCTGGGAAAAAGCAGAGTCAGTCAAGCATTTTATTTGTGGTCCTTTTCCCACAGGAAGTTTCTGGGAATCTTGGAAGCAGTCAAGGAGAGATATTTCTAGGAAGCTTGAAATGCTGGGTTGTGGTTGTTATCGTCTGGACGATGATAAACCAACCATTCTTTTAGATGTGACTGCTGGGTATTCTTGTCTGAATGTGCTGATTTCTACTCCCTCCGTCCCATAATGTAAGACATTTTTTGATACTAGTGTAGTGTCAAAAAAACATCTGACATTATGGGACGGAGGGAGTACAATTTTAGTTGGATTCCATATGTTTATGAACAAAACAAACTCATATGTTTATGAACAGAACAAACTCGTATGTTTATGAACAGAACAAACTCATATAATTTTAGTTGTTTCGGTTTTTGTATTGTTACCATGGATGTTTTTTTTTTGAAATGAACCAACCTTTTGTGCATATACATACGAGATTGTAGGTAAACGTGAGCATCAGTAGTGCAGAAAATTCCATGGTCTTCCATTGGACATGCATCACCTATTGTTTGACCATGTAACTGGAGAAGCTAAAAACATGGACAGATCCGCTCATTAAGAAGCACACATCTTATTTTCTTTTGGGTTTCAGAAGAACATCATTAGGCTCTGACTAGATTTACAAAGGGACCTTGTTGCTTAAAAATGTGAGGTCAAACTCTCTGCAATTATAGAAGTTTGGCAGCTACGCATTTCAGTGCGCAGTCGTGCCCACGTCTGCACCCCTAGCTTTGCAAGAAAACAGTTTTTTAGCTGTCTGAATAGAGCGTATCACCTGTTTAGTGTCTCCTCATTTATCTGAAAAGGGTGTATCACCTGAAAAGGATTTTTTTTAGCTGCCTATGAATTTATGTTATTGCAGATGCTCACAGTGCATATCTTTCATCATGAAGGTACAACTCATAAATGATTTTTGCGCTGGAGGAGGTGATAGCACAACCATATACTCGCTAAGATGGCAAGGCTGTGTCAGGACTCAGGACCCAAGTATGTGTTCTTTGAAGAATTCAACACTGCATCGTCGATTCAGTTAAGTTTGAATTTGAACGAGACAACTCTGACGCTCCTCCTGTCTCCGTACCCCTTCGCTAGTTATGAAGACCCAGATGGCGTCTGATCAGCACCTAACGGCTGCGAGAGCATCCTGTGTCGCTGTTGGCTTTCCGGCAAGCCTTCAGAGAGCCAACTACTCCATTTTTCTTTTCCTTCTATTTCCTCCAAGTTACAAGGTTATAAAGCCACATTCCTAGAACTCCCTGGGTATCTCTCTTGTATTAGGTTTTCCCCTTAGCCGCCAGTGTTCCTGGTTAGCCTTAGGTTCTTCTTGTATCACGCTAGAACCCTTGAATTCGTCCAATAAAGTGGCTAAGATTTGCGAGTTTCAGGAGTTGTTTCAGCGGATATTCTTACGCTCATACTATCGGGACATCAATCTGCAAGTGATTATCTGACCTTGTTTTGCTGAGGCATATGAGTGTAGGTAGCATTGTTCCTCGCCAACACCGCCAGGGTCCGTGGAGACGACGACCATCGCGAAAGCTGAAACAGATGTTGCTCAACGTAGCTGAAGGTCTGAGGTGCTGCTGTGTTGATCGGCAGATCATATCATTCCTATCAAGCTTGATGTTTGATGTGGGCATGAATGCTCGGGGAAAGCTTAGTTTGCTTTGCTGAGCCGTGGGTGATTTGTTTTCAGTACGGCCTTTTGCGCATAATGACATGAATCACCTTTATCATCCAACACATGATCTCCTTTGAACTTCTGGTAGGAGTATTTTTTTTTCTCTCGACGGTGTAGGAGTATTACTCGGTCACATAGAACTTTATATTGTCAGAGAAATTTTTGTATTGAAACTTGAAAATTCTAACAATTACAAATTCAACCATTCTTTGGAGCAAATTTTCGACTGCAATTGTAGTTTTTTTTTTTTGCTATTTGCTCATGTAGATGAATATTTGAAGTGACGTCCCTGGACGTGGATGCTGCAGCATGCCTCGCGCCGTAGCGTCCTCAGGGCATGTACAATGGTTGATAAGATAGTCTTATCTTAAGTCTTGCATGTAAATTAGAGATGACAAAAAAACATGTCTACAATGAGTCATTTCTTAGCCTTATCTTAAATAATTAGTTGTTCCTAAAAACATGGTGAGACAAATTGTGTTAAGAGATCATCTCTTGTCTTCTCTTAAATAAGAGAAGACAAGCCTTATCTTACGATTTCTCTCTCCTCCACTTCATCATTTATCCTACGTGGCACTCTTAAGATAGAACCATTGTACATGCCCTCATGCTGTAGGCCAGTCTTTTAACTAACCCGGCGGACTGCTGGGGCCTTTTGATAACTGATGTTTCTCTGCAGCCACATGATCAACATCTAACGGTCAGGATCGCCATGGTTCAGTATTTCATCCACAAAAACAGCACGCTCAC